GTGTAGCTTTAAAGTGGGTTTATTTCACCGGGATTTTGCTCGATTACCATAAAATTATCGTACATCCTTTAAAAAAGCTAACCATCTTATAGGCCCGCGAAGTTGGGCCTACCATTTTGAATTTTTAAATGATTATAGGCTGGATTGGGTTGTACTGAGCTTGTGCATTTTTCGGTCTCATATGTGTAATTACTAACTTTACAGTTATCCAACTAATTTATGTAAAATTCTGTTATGCAATACCGTAGAGAATTACTTAATTGCGGATATTTTTTTAAAAAAAATAAAATTCACCTATGAGGTATTTTACCATATTTTTCAGCGAGTATTATCGCTTATTATTTAAAAAATACATGTAAAAAGCTAATATTTTGAGAATATTATATTGAATTTATAAAAATTATAAAACTGTTATTTATAAAAATGGATATTTTGAGCATATACTATATTTTATATTGCATTTATAAAAATAAAACTAATATTCATAAAAATGGTAATAATATTTTGAGCATATACTATATTTTATATTGCATTTAAAAAAAATAAAACTAATATTTAATTTATAAAAATGGAAAATATTTTGAGAATATAATATATTGTATTTAATTTATAAAATAAAAATAAATCGCTATTTAAAAAAATTCATGTATAATAAATAGTATTTTGAAAATATAATCTAATTGCACAATATTAATATAATTTATTTTATAATATAAATTTTTAACAAAAGAATATAATTGTATTATATAATATTGTAAAAAAAATAATGAAAAATGTTGGATTAAAAACTTTCATGACTCAAGGTAAATATAATAAATGCAATAAATATTTGACAGTTTGCAAAGTAAAAAACCAGCATGATTGTCGAAACCCTATACTCAAGAAAGATATTAAAAATTCACAAATTATCATAAAGAAATAGAAGCATATCTACCTTTTCAGGTTGAAGATTACTTCTTCTTTCTTCAAGAATTCTCCCAGTAGTGGAAAAATTCGGCTCACAGCTTGCACTTGAAGCAGGAATTGCCAATACCCGTTTTGCCAATTTTGCTAAAATTGGAAATTCGCTTTGATGAGCCGCCCACCACTCTAACAAATTATCCACCTTAAATGTTTATTCTATTTTTTTATTTATGTAATTATAATATTCATCATCGGGTATTGACATATTACAGAATTACCATCGCCCCATTTGTCATAAAACGATTCAGTTTGTTTAACAACAGTCGTAATTTGACTGGTCGATGGTATTTCATTTACTTCCTGAGCCTCTTGTAATTTAATATAATCTTTTATATAGTTTTCCGTCATCTTGCGATCTGTCCCTGACAACATACGTAATTGCTTTAATTTGGGACAGAGAAAAAGAGAAATAAAATGATACTTGTGTAAAACAAATTTTCAATTAAAAAATGCTTAATATTAAGTAAAATCAATTTTATTTATCCTTTTTCTCTTTGAAAGGTATTACAAACTTCAAGAAGTGATATTCCTTTATTTGATTGTTTTGGTAAAATATATTCTAAAAATTTAGATATTAATTATAAAAAAATATATTAATAATACTTGAATATTGGGGCTTATTTAAGATATTCCTTTATTTGATTGTATTGGTAAATTATGTTGTAAAAATTTAGATATGAATTATAAAAAAATATATTAATACTTTGAATAAATTTGCAGGAAATTAATAGATCGATCTGTGGGTGTTAGGTAGTGTTAACTATCACCCAATATTATATTAATCGAAACTATAATATAATATAATCTTATAACCATTAACTCATAATGTAAAAAATTTTATAAAAAATATTAAGGCCCGGCCCGGCCCGGGTTTAACAATCTTAGGCCCGGCCCGGATATATTTTAAAAAATTTTTTAGGCCCAGCCCGGGTATATTAAAAAAATTTAAAATACGGCCCGGGCCGGGTTTAGGGCCGGGCCTGCAGGTCTCTGATATAAATAAAAAAAATATATTATAAGAAATGTCAATCAAGTTGATATTATTTGTTTGTATATTTTTTTTTATATAAAGCATTCATTCTGTTTTTGATATGATTTTCTTTTATACTGATATTTGGGATGATTCATTCTTTTGTTTATATTTTTTATTTTGGTATTGATATTTGGAATAAAGAAGAATATTGGAAATAGAAGACATGCATTATCTAGAATATTGGAAATAAAATGTCATTTTAGTTACTTATGATAATATTTTATTAGTATCCATATTATTTTGGAATAAATCAAATAAGGATTTAAAAAAATACTTATTAACTCTACCTCACATGGCTCGATTATTATTAGGTTCTAATTTAGCTGTTGCTCATAATGCAACTGCCCTTTTACAAAAACAAGAGGTCTGTTTTTGCGACCATTATTAAAATATTTTTGGCTATATTTTATAAATGGTTTCAAAGGGAAATCGGCAATATAAGAAGTTAATTGAATGTTTAAATATTTCGATCCTCTCCTATATTTTTTTTTTTTTCAAATTTTTATGTTTTATTGTAAATTTTTCGAAATCTTAATTATCACCTACCAATATTTTGTAGGGCCGGGCCTGCAGGTCTCTGATATAAATAAAAAAAATATATTATAAGAAATGTCAATCAAGTTGATATTATTTGTTTGTATATTTTTTTTTATATAAAGCATTCATTCTGTTTTTGATATGATTTTCTTTTATACTGATATTTGGGATGATTCATTCTTTTGTTTATATTTTTTATTTTGGTATTGATATTTGGAATAAAGAAGAATATTGGAAATAGAAGACATGCATTATCTAGAATATTGGCAATAAAATGTCATTTTAGTTACTTATGATAATATTTTATTAGTATCCATATTATTTTGGAATAAATCAAATAAGGATTTAAAAAAATACTTATTAACTCTACCTCACATGGCTCGATTATTATTAGGTTCTAATTTAGCTGTTGCTCATAATGCAACTGCCCTTTTACAAAAACAAGAGGTCTGTTTTTGCGACCATTATTAAAATATTTTTGGCTATATTTTATAAATGGTTTCAAAGGGAAATCGGCAATATAAGAAGTTAATTGAATGTTTAAATATTTCGATCCTCTCCTATATTTTTTTTTTTTTCAAATTTTTATGTTTTATTGTAAATTTTTCGAAATCTTAATTATCACCTACCAATATTTTGTTAAAATTTTTCGCCATCACAATCATTTTATAACTCTCTCATTTTTTTATGTAAACTGAGCTTGTTAAAAAAAATTACTTTAATTTAATTTCTGAGTGTATCAAAATTTCGTTAAACCGATTTTTAAGCAATTTTTTGGGTGCTTTTCCCCTGTTTTTTATATATAAAATTTTATCTTCTTTTTTTAAAGGGTTTATCAGTTTTTTTTATATACTAACTAAATTAAATGTCTTGAGTTGAATTAATTTAGATCTATTCCTTTCAATTTAACTTTAAAAAAGTTTAAATTAATTTTCTTTTATCTTGTTTTTAATATATTATTAAATATTTACTTATAAAATAAAATTTTAAATGTTCGACTCACCATAAATAAAAATATGGCCTATACAATTTATATGCCCAATCCAGGGGCGGACTGGCGACGTTACGGCCTCGTGGGCATTTTTTTATAGCGGCCTCATTTTTATATTTTTATTACTTGTTATTTTTTATAGGTTCAAACAATTTACATTTTAAAAAAAGAAAAGAATAATGACACGATAATCATATATTTTATTTTAAAAATTGCACATATAAAAAAATATTCATTACACATATATATTTTATATTAGATTTACAAGGATATTGCACTATAAAATCAAATCATACATCACATGTTAAATATAATGTAATACATACTCAATATATAAAATCAATTAATTACACATATAAAATTATAACAATTATACAATATTGCACAGACACATATAAAATTATAACAATTATACAATATTGCACAGAGAATAAAACTGTTGCACTTATAAAATTAGAGATCATATTGTAATAGATATAAATAAGATTTAAATAAATGAATTAATAATATATAATTTTTATGTTAATAAATCTCTCATTAACTTTGAACCTTTGCGTAAATAAACAAGATTATCTTCTATTTCAATCTGCGATAATAGTTCTCGTTCAACTGACATCATTAAAAACGCTTCTAATTTTTCTTGGCCTATATTAGCTCTCAGCCTATTTTTTATAATTTTCAATTTGCTAAATGTTCTCTCGCAATTAACCTGCGTAAATGATAAAGTTAAAATGTATTCATACGCCAGAAATAAATTAGTGTATGCACTTGTATGCATATTGTACCTCTTAAGAATTTCATACACGCATATTAAACAATTGTTACATTTATCACACTTCGAGTTATTATAATATTGTAGTATTCCATCTTCTTCATTCGACTCCTCACTTGTACATAAGATATCATCGTCCGTTTCATTTAATTCTGCTATTAAATCTTTGAATACACTAGAAAATGAACACAATTCGTGATGTAATTTATCACTCGATATATTTGCCAATTGCGCCAGTTTTTCCAAGGCCATTTCAGAAATACCTTTACTATTTATGTCATCAAAATGCCTTGGATGCAAATATCGCACATTCAAAATAAGCTTTCTATTCGCAGAAAAGCGTTCCGACAAACTGTTTATAATTTGATCAATTATAGGACGAAATACTTCAACCCTATAAAGGTCAATCGATTCTTGAGGACGTTCATTCTGGCCTTCATCACTATATATTCTCTTTACTCGTCCTATTCGAATTTTTGGCAGAGCAGTCTGTACACAGATACTCTCCGGAAACTTTAAATATGAAAGTGTTTCATTTAAATCAGAAGCCATTTTTATTGCTTTATTTTGAATTGATGTAATAGTTATCGATGACACAGAAGACTTAGCATCTTCTATCATCTTCCATGCCGACAAAATATCTAAATTTTTGGTTTGAAGATACAATGACAATAGCCCCATTATTTCAAAAATTTCTAAATATATTACAGCTGTACTAAGAGTCTTAAATTTACATAAATTTCTATCAACGACTGCGCTTCTGATGAGGTTTTTGCCTCAAATGATTTATTATCTATTATAAATCGAAGTGCACTTATAGTTATTGGAAGTAAGCTCTCTTTGCCATATATCCATTTAAGGGCTTTTTCACGTGCCCACCACCTTGTCTCACCTATTTTTTGCAGCCTTCTCAGTTTATTTTGGCCAGTTGAGTTATTCTGTTTCACCCAAGCGTCCATCCTTTTATATGATTCACCAAAGAAAGTTGCTAGTCTGTTCAATAATCCAAATAAAATTTTGCCTTCATTATTATCGCATGAATCACATATACAGAGATTTAATATGTGACTATAACACCAAATATACAAGCTACCTGGAGCCTCTTGTCTAATAAGAGCTTGCAACCCAACAAATTCCCCCCGCATATTTGCAGCACCATCAAATGATTCTCCAATTATATTTCTCATTTGAATTCCATGTTTTAAAAAGCATTCACTCAAGATATCAAAAAATCCTTTTCCAGAAGAGTTCGTAACTTTTGTAAGTGCAAAAAGCCTTTCTGTTATTTTACCATTATATATGTATCGTAGGCAAATGGTTGCTTGATCATAAACGCAAATGTCTTGAGTACTATCCATTTGCAAACTAAACCGTTTGTTACCAATCTCCTTTTTTATTAAATTCCTGATTTGATCAAGAACAGCATCAATAATTTTGTTGACAGTTGTTTTTGACAACAAGGTTATGAGAGAACCTCTTCCCTTCGATTTTGATTTGTTAGACAGTTTAAGCGTATCTTTTCTACGTTTGCTTTTTAAAATAGCCTTCTCTAAATGATCTCTAGGTATTTGATCATTCTTTGATATAATACGGATCATTTCCAGGAAATTGCCATGATTTAAATTTTCATTATCAAAGAGGCTAAGTGTTTCGGTAGCATTTGATCCTCTGTATGGTAAGTTTTGTTTACCTAAAAACTTTATTATCTCAAATATTTGTTTTATTATGTGGATTTTGTTATGAATTTGTCGATTTTTTTCATTTAATATTTTAACGCTAATTGAATTATTAAATGACTGGTTTTTTGAAGCTCTGAGGTAGGCCTCGACAGCACTAATATGCACTTTTGAATTTTCATGTATTTTAATAACTGAGTGCATGTGACGAAAATTTGTAGAGCCTGTTGTGAAAGTGTTTTCACATACTGAAAATGCCAGGCAGATTGAGCAGTACACAGCTTGGGCTTTATTGCATATAATTTTTATGGTAACCCATTTTCTAGGTATTTTTTCACTCATTACCATTCGATAATATAATTTATCATATTTAATGTTTATTGGTTCTATAGGATGTTGCATTAAAAATCTAAGTTTTTGAGGTATAGTGGCTGTTAATTGCAAATTAAAATTTTCATGTGTATGCATATCCAATTCTGATAATCCACTTTGAGAAATATCTGAAGGCATTATTGATGTAGTTGCTTCTGACAAGTGTGAGGATAGTGGCAATGATTGAACTGATGCCATAATACATGAAGATGTTGCAGATAAGGTAGTTGTTTCAGGTAGTGGTAAATGGGAGGCAGTTGTTGATATCTCTAAAAAAATAGTTTATTTACATGAAGTAATAGCATTTGAAATACTTGGTATTGATTTATCAAAAAAAGATAATTTAAGTTGTTTTGGATCAGCACCAGCTGCTTTGAGACCAGCAGCATTTTTTTTTCTTAATTTTTTAGCTCCACCTTTAAATTTTCTTTTGGCATTACTATGCATATATGAAAATATATCAATTCAACTAAAATAAAATTTATTATAATTTTTTTAAAGAATTGTATTTTAATATAAAGCATAAAGTAATCTATTATGTTACCGGCCAGTAATAATAATAAAAAAACATTACTATCTTTGGGTTATGAAATATAAATAAGTTTTTTAAAAATATATCAATTAAACTAAAATAAAATTTATTATAATTTTTTTTAAAGAATTGTATTTTAATATAAAGCAAAAAGTAAGTTATGTTACCAGCCAGTAATAATAATAAAAAAACATTACTATCTTTGGGTTATGAAATATAAATAAGTTTTTTACTTTTGACTATTTACATACATCTCAATTTACGTGTAAAAATAGTATATAAAGTTGATTCTTTTCTTATATTATGTTTGTTTGCTAATGATCAGTAAATTGTTGTAATACAAATATTAGGCGCACAAAAGTTTCCTCTACAATAAATTAATGTATAAAAATATAATATAATAAATTAATGAAAACTTAGCTTTCACTCTACTCAAGCCCAAGCTCAAAAGGATCAATGAATTAAGAACAAGATAGTTTCCTATTTTACAATAAATTAATGTATAAAAATATAATATAAATTAATGAAAACTTAGCTTTCACTCTACTCAAGCCCAAGCTCAAAAGGATCAATGAATTAAGAACAAGAAATACAATCAATCACAATAGTTTCCTATATACAATAAATTAATGTATAAAAATTAATATAATAAATTAATGAAAACTTAGCTTTCACTCTACTCAAGCCCAAGCTCAAAAGGATCAATGAATTAAGAACAAGAAATATAATCAATCATAGTTTCCTATATACAATAAATTAATGTATAAAAATATAATATAAATTAATGAAAACCTAGCTTTCACTCTACTCAAGCCCAAGCTCAAAAGGATCAATGAATTAAGAAGAAGAAATACAATCAATCACTATAGTTTCCTATATACAATAAATTAATGTATAAAAATTAATATGATAAATTAATCAAAACTTAGCTTTCACTCTACTCAAACTCAAACATAAGTGTTTTCACTTCCTTTAAAAAAAAACGAAAAGCACGTGGTAAATGATATATAGCGTCAAGCGACGTAATTGATATTTTTTGCATTCAAATATAGTAAACGACATGATAATTCTTCTCAGGGAATGTTATATTCAAATAATAGATATCATTAAAAATAAATAAATGATAAGAGAAAATAATGTGAACAAAATAATATTTTTTTTTCCTACCGGCCTCTTTTTTGATATTTTCCTCTCATCGGCCTCAAAATCGACATTTTCTCGCGGCCTCGTGGGCAAAATGCCCACTGGGTCTTATGGCCAGTCCGCCCCTGGCCCAATCAGTGTTTTTCATTAAATTTATTTTTTAAATATGATGTATTTGTTTGTTTTATAATATCAATAATAATTTTTTATAAGTGCCATTTATAATTTTACCTTTTTTTTGAAAAAAGATTTTATCTTGTTTTGATCTTGTGTTCCCTTAAATTATGCGAAAATATCTATCTTCATCCATCTTCGCACACTCATGTTTAAAGCTTTACCAAATTATGATCTCCATCATAAAATTGGTATCCAGAACGTATAACGTGCTCTCCCGGATCTTGATAACCGATCACGAAAATTCACCCATTCATTTCGTGTTTTTCAAATCGAATACTGCTAGATTAATTCTATTAACACCGGTGTACCTTTTGTTGATTTGGTACAACTACTTATACATATTCGAGATCAGAAGGGATTCTCATATATATCTTTCGGATTCTTTTTCTTCTTGGAATTTCATTTCACGCGTACCATTTAACATGTCCTCCACATTTCTCAAGCTCTACACCTTTGACCCATCCAAGGCGTTATACAAAATTTCAGATAAAAAATATTTATACCCAAAAGCTGAAAAGGACATATTTTATCCCAGTGACGAAGTGTCGTCAGATAACAAAGATATTTTGTTGATTTTAGACTCCAAATTAGGAGTTATCGAAACTAGTATGATGGAGAGAGTTTTGCGGAATCCTATTATCGATTCGATGAGATTGAGTAGGTATTCCTATGATGTTCATTATTATTTATATCCTGCCACCTTATATCAAACGTTATACCAAAATTTGTACACAAATATTATGGGAGAAAACGCGACGGATGCAGAAACAATATACAAAGCTCTAATATTCGAGAGTTTTGACCTGTACTTGAACTTTATATCTTTTAATCACTACAAGCATATATTGGACTCATACATTTTGAAATATGGCGCGGGAATAGTTGTTTTTGCCAATTTTGTGACATCTTCATTCAATCTAAAGGTTTTTAAAATTATTTTTTTAGACTTTTTTGAACCCAATTTCTATTTGAGTTAAAACAATGTAGTGTCGCTACTCTCTCTTATTACTTTGGTCTCAGGTACTTCTACATCAAGCTAATGAAGATATCCCCCATCCCCAGGCGCGTACGCAGGAATTTGGTCTGGGGAGGGATAATAAATTTTTTTAAGAAATAATATTGTTAATTAAAAATACTAAGCATAAATTTATTAGGTTAGGATTAAGAACTTTTCTAATACACAATTTTAAACTAATGTGAATTAAAAAAATTATATATATAAACCGGCATTGAAAAACTATAAAATAAATGTGAATTATAAAATATAAAATGAATATAACCCACGATATGAATCACTTAAATGACCCAAAATTGAAATTTGAATTTTTTGAGCTTTTAAAATATATAAAGTATAAAAAATTTAAATGTTGGAAATATAAATTAATATACAAAAAGTTTCTTAGGAATAATTGTATTTTGTATGTTTTGAGCTAATTTTTCAATTATCAATCCTTGTTTGGCGTTAAATGCCTATGAATATTCAAAAGATCCAAATCATTCAATCTACTTTCAGATGTTGTATTTCATGGGTATATTTTTCACAGACTTGCAGGCCCGGCCCCCGAGCCGGATCGTATTTTAATTTTTTTAAATACGGGCCGGGCCCGTAATTTTTTTTTAAAAAATACCCGGGCTGGGCCTGAAAATTATTTAGAAAAAATATCCGAGCCGAGCTGTATATTTTAAAACCAAATATTTGAAATCGCCATTATTAGCTATAAAAATCAAAAACCGGGCCGGGCCTGAAAATTTTTAAAAAAAAACCCGGGCCGGAAAAAATTTAAAAAAAAAATCTGGGCCGTGTCCTGCAAATGGTACCTCTGCAAGGCTCTGTTATTCTTCTTAAAAAAGTGAATGTTCTCTCATTAGTTTACTAAAGAGCTGCTAATATATATATATATATAACCATTTTAATACATTGGGAGTATAATCTAAAATGTGTTTGAAATAAAAGGCATCCATAGCATTTTTGGGACTGTATCAACCATAGTTAATCTTTTAATCATAGTTATTCAGCTAATAAAGCATCATAAGATATTTTAACATCTTCATGATAAAAATCTAACAAATATTTATATTTTTTTTCTATCACCATATGAAAAAGGTTGGGAGAAGGGACATTTGTTTTATAATACTCTTCTACTAATCCTATATGAATGTTTTGACGATGAGCTTGCTTGCTGCAAGTCGAGGGGGACAAATATTAAACACGTATAGCTCTGCTTTTGACTCAACAATAACATATAAAATATGAAATTCTTCAACAACATTAGCTCTAATTTCCTTGAGTTCTAATAAAATGCTCTCCTCTATTCTCTTCTTCTTAATCAAGTCAATGTTATGTTTTTGAAAAGCATTACATAAAATAGTTGTATAATTAAATAATACATTCTAATGAGAAAAAAAATTTGGAATAAGTATTGAATCCAATAATTTTCTTGCTTCTGGGGAAATATTTCTTTCAATCGTGATATTTCAGTAATAGCATTAATAATCGGCTCTTCAAACTCCATAATAGGTGTTACTGTGGCGGAGACTCGATCTCGTTGGACAAGCTTGCAATTTCTTTCTCCCTTAATTATTATTTGACTAGAAATTTAGATAAATATTACGGCACTAAAATTTGAAAATAATAGGTAAATTACGGCAAGGAAAACTTGAAATCGAAATTGATTGATAAAATAACTTAGTAGATGAATGTGATAAATAAATGTAATTAAATATATATATATGAGATAGGAATAAATATTAACAAATATAAATTAATATTAGCTATAATATTTTTGAAAAATATAATCCGGCATCTGCATTTTTTGGCTTTGGGGGGGATTTGTCCCCCACCCCCCGCTGCGTACGCCAATGCCCACCCCACCTAAACAAAAATAAGGAAATCAAAATTAAGAACATCCAAACTAGTACCCCCCATTACATTCATTTACTGCCCTACCCTTTTCCATTTATTACGATGATGAGAGCATCTTCACAACTCCCTATCCCTCTTCAATTTCTACTTGTTTTTACTTCATATCTGTAGAAGTACTCGGCCTGATAAAATTTAAAAATTAAATAGATTTTTTACATATTCAAAAAGAACTTTTACGCAAATAGAAAGTTATTTTGGCTACATTACTAATCAATATACTTTTGACTTTTACTCCTGCTAACACTTAAGAATACTTTAGGATATTTAAACATTTGATACTATCTAATTTATTTTTGCAATTGTATTTCAACATTTATGTTGCCTTCCCTACAGCTTACTTTAGTTAGCTGCAGCCTAAGGTAAGTGGCAAAAACGAGTGGCGATAATTATGATTTAAATAATTAAATTAGTTTATTAAAAACTAGAATGAAACATGCTCTAAATCCAAAGGCGTATTTTTTATCGCGTTTTTCAAAATATCTAAATTCTTGCCTAAGATCGGCAAATATTATAGGGACGGTACTGAACATTGATAATATTTAATATATTTTATTTTAAATCCATCAATCAAATCCGTTATTTTTTTCCCCCGATCTCTCATTGGAAAAAATAAAAAGAAGGGGATATATCCTTTACAACTAATAAACGCCTCTCACTGCAACGATTTATTTGTTGTTAAACGAAACCTTTCCCCTTCCGCTCATAATTATATTACTCGAATTGTTCGGGACAATCATTATCTGATCAAAGGCCCGCTTGAAGCAACTCATCGATCCCCGGTCGATGTATATGGATTCCACTCTGATTCTCCTGAAGCCCACAAAAATTTAACTTTTAAGGTTATAACGTATAGTTGCGAACATCCACACGGAAATGTGGATGAAAAAAAGCCAAATTTAGAGCTATGCAGTAAAATATTACCCACTGTTTTAATTGCTGAAGAGATCGTGGAAAATGGGAATGAAGAAGACCGAGGTTTAATTTTTAAAAAAAAATTTATTAAATAATATTATTTATTATAATGTAAGTAAAATTTTGTCATAAATATAAATTATATTATTATTATATATATTATAATATAGATATAAATAAAGATAGCACGACAAGGACGATTTTTATAGGTGGTTCACTCCATTTTTGGCCATTTAAATTAATTTTGGCCGACGTTTTACATTATTTTATCAAAAACCAAAATCCAAATCTCAAAGCTAACGAATCAAAATCCGGTTCATTGGATCGATATGTTTTAATCGACATAGATGATGTTTTAGTTGGCGAAGTCAACCCATCTATCGATGACATCAAAGTATAACGAGTTATTATTCATTTAAAATAAAATCTAGTTAGAATTCTATTACAATTGTAATTACTATAATATTTATTTTTCTCAGGGGCTTGAGAGAGATAGGGGGATAAATTTTCAACCTAGCCTTGTAAAATTCTGGATATTCTTTTTCTTTGCCAATTTTATTAAATTTTACTCCATTTTTTAGGTTCTTATATACAATAATAAATTAGATAGAAATCACACGCTTAATATATTTATATGAGTTAAATATGACAGTTTAAAAGGGGGGAGGAGATATATTTCACCTTATTCCTTGCATTATTTATTTTTCTCACCTTACCACTTGAAAGAAAAAAATCATTATTTCTAAAGGTTTTTATATAATAACATTAAACCCTGAAATGAACATATAACTGCATTTATTGTAAGGGCGTCATCGTTCTCCATGGCCATGTATTTGCCTGATATGGTGTCTCTAATCGGTATGAGCACCGATATCGCACTATTTTCGCTCTTACTATTCTTATTTATTTATATATCTCACTTATAAGTTATATTTTATATAAATCAATCAAAGTCTTTAATCGATTCTCAAAACGACTTAAGGCTTCTGGTAAAAAATTTCACATACAATTTGGGATTTTCCGGCATGTATAACAATTTATACTCTACGATTCTTCGAAGGGGCTACCACTATCTGATAAGTGATTTTTCAATATTAGAAACATTTTAATTTGTTCTGTTTTTTTTAATAAAAAATTATAGAAAATAATCATAATTTTTGGTGGTTTTTACATTCCTGGGACCATAAAAATACATTCTTGCAAAATCTAACTACAATTAATAGCGAAATTAAGTTGAATTTTGACTTCGCTAAAGTAATTTTTTACATTTATAAATTTAGTTATAAATTCTATTAAATCGAATTACCATTTATTAATAATATAAGCCTATATAAGACGTGTAAAATTGGTTTTAATCCAGTTGCAAATATACATATTAGTAAGTAATAAAATTAACAGGCATTAACTAATTTGAATTATATTATTTATTAATATTATATATGCGATGCTGGCTTAATGCGGGGCAATATATATTCTTTATCAATGTTTTTATTTATTTTGTAAGCGTTACAATTTAGATATATCGGCATGCTACAGCATTAGTCCAGCACATTCAGGCATTTATCCTATAGCCGATATTCTTTATGAAACATGGCAAAATTATGGCATACATGTTAGCAGCACTTACTATTATCCCAACATGTATCCCTCTTCATTGAGGAGAGCGTTTATTTACAAAAATATCACGGTAATTTATTTATATAATATAATTATAGGGTGCTGTATAGAGTCCTGCAAGACATACATTTTTTCGACTCGACCTGTAGTGAGAAAAGTATTAATCTAACCTTAACATAATATCAATTCCATAATCCCAACCTTACTCACCTAAAGAAAATTTTCATCCACAACCCAGCCTGCCTGAAATAATAAAATAATTATCATAACCGGACTGACCTAACCCACTGTTCCGGAAGGTTGGATTGGGTCGAGTTTAATAAACCTCTTGTGTAAAATTTTTTCCAAATTTATTTTGTTTTTGAAATGAGATTGAGTTGACAGAAAAATTGGTATTTAAAGGAGAGATAATTTAAATATATTACGAGTTTGAAAAAATACTGAAAATACCGCTTAAATGTTTCATAACTTTCAATTGATCCTGGAGTAATTTTTAAAATAATTATGATATAATACTAAATTACAAGCATTAAAATCATTTTTAAATTTTATTATTAAGGTATTACCTCGAAAAACTTGCGGCATATACACTCACACCCTCACCTTTGCCAATTACACTGGAGGCATCAAAGGGTTAAATGATATGATAAAGGGTGGGAATGTTTTCGATCAGCTCTTATACGATAAAGTATTATTTTTTTTAAAAAAATGCTGTTTTATTATTCAGTGTAATTTTTTTCTTTCTTCTATTATTCATATTAACATATTTTTTCGAATGTGTTTATCTTTCTTTACATAAATCCTGTTTTCCTTATAAAGGAAAGAATAATATTAATTTTAATTTGATACATTCAATCTTGGCGTTCGCCTTTATTCCTAACTGCTAGTATTTTTAAACCGAACCATTAAACCGCTAGACACCTGTATTTTTATCGAACCTAAACCGCTAAAAAATTCTAGTCCAACCTGAACCGAACCGCTAAAAAATTCTAGTCCAACCTGAACCGAACCGCTAAAATGCCTCTGAACCGGTTCGAGCCTCATAATTTTATGCTTATAAAATAATGTGCAAGTTATTACTCAGTGGCGTAGCCAGGATTTTATCATGGGGGGGGGGGTTTTAAAAATTTTTTTGGGGGGTTTTTTTGAACACTTAATTGCTTATATTTTTGGATTTGTTAAAATTGTTTTATATTTTCATATAACAAAATTTTAAGGTATTTTATTATATATTTTACATTCCTTTATTTAATCATGTATATATTTTTATTAATTAAAATATTTTCAAAATGATGATATTTTATATTATACAGATTTTAATATTAAAAATTATAAGACTCTTATTTAAAAAAAAGTAATTTTTTACAATTATATAAAATATGTGTAATTCTTATTCAAATAATGGTATTTAAAAAAATATGATGATATTATCTTATAAATAATACTTTTTTTACAAAAAAAAATTGATTATATATTAAAACTAATAAAATTTTATTGCTATTTTTTGATTTGAATTTAAAAAGAGATGTCTAATTTTCTCGGAGATATTGCTAATTCATCTAGAATCAAATTTTTATCTAAAATAATCTCCTTATAAATATTCAATAGGGCTAATCCATTTAAACGTTTTTCACCGGTTGTGTTTCTTAAATAGGTTTTTAACCTTTTTAAAGTTGAAAAAGACCTTTCATTATTGCAGGTACTAATTGGCAAGGTAATTAAATAATTAATAATGTTTTGATAATAGGCAGGGAATCTAAAATGCAATTACACATGGAAAGGACCTGCAGGGCATTTTTTGGTCTCAAAGAATACCCTATTCTGTCAAGATTTTTATACCAAAATTCGACATCACAAAGTAACATATCATATGAACCTACTAAATCATCAGCATAAAACTCTGAGATTTTTTAAATATCCTCTCGTGTTTCAAGTGTAATCAACAATTTAGACTCAACCGGAAAAAGAAAATAAAAGCTTTTTAAAATATAATTATGACTAATAAATCTTTCTTTTAATTGAAATAAAAATGTATCAATAAGGGGAATAAAAATGTTTATTTTATAAAAATCCTCAATCGTAGATGCATCAATATTTGATCGATTGGATTGTCTAGAGACTACGCTCGGTATAAAAATTTCAATTCCAAACATATTAGCAATCTTCTTTACTTTTTCATATATTTCATGAAATTTTTCATCCACATTCTCTGATATTTGTTAAAATTTCAACAATATCCTTTGCTCTATTCATAATCTCCCTTAAATCCAAATCAATTTTTTGTAGCATTTTGCTAAAATCATATGTATGATTAAATAAAAAATAAACACATTGAATTGAAATTAAAAACTGTGGCTTAATAATAGCCTGCAAAAAATTTTCGGCGTCTGCTGAATCTTTTTCCTTGCTTGATATATAAAATTCTAGTGCTGCAAAGACAACATCATATAGTTCAATAAAGAGTTTCACCGACTCTTGTCTTTCGATGAATCTGGTCGGACAAAATCTTTTTAGTTTTTTTTTTGATTTTTTGAGTCAATATGATACTTTTGAATAAATAACTCCCTTTTGGGTGGTGTGAAATAGCTGCAAACCAAAAATAAATATAAAAATAATCAAAATGTGTATATCTATTATTATTTACAATAAATTTAAAACATAAAAATCAAGCGTTTATTAAGAATTTATTATTTAAAAAAAAAAATTTTTTTTTTCATTACGCCACTGTTATTACGAGTATATTGCAAAATTTTTAATTATATTCGAATTGTTTATAGATTATTATCAATCACATTTGATAAGTGTCAGTCATAATTTTTATAAACTTTATTATATAGCCATTTTACAATATTTTTTAAATATTTTAAGCTTATAAATTATAATGCCTAGAGAAAAATTAAATCCAATATATAAATTATTTACATATAGTATTATAAATGATACATCAAATCTGATATCATACTGGCAGTGCCGGCTACCCAAGTTAGTGTGAAAAGATGTTTTTCAACAATTAAATTTATATTATCTCCTTATAGATGTAATTTGAGTGAGACGAATTTTGAAAATATACTAAATTGTGTGGTTTAATAAAAAAAATTTAAGTAATTGTTCATATTAAAATTAATCATTGATTTTTATTTGTTTTTTTTTAAATTAAATATTATTTTATAATGTGCAATTAATAAAAATGAAGGTTTTATGTATGTGTTTTTTATTTTAATTATGAAATAAAAAAAATATTCTTCCCTATACATAATTCGAATGTAGGTTTGAAAACAAAAGTGTTCAAACCGGTTTTTAGAGGTTCGAACCGAACCGATATTTTTATTTATTACGAACCGAACATGAACCTTGAACCGTTATTTTTATCCAAACCTGAACGAACCCGATATTTGTTTCGGTTTGGATTCCTGTACAAAAGTATTTTTTTTTTAAAATATCGCTTTAAAAAAACAAGAAATGAAATGATTATTTTTATATTATTACATCTGCTAAACCAAAAAGTTTAACTTGTTCATGACACACATCCCCAACTACTCATACGATCGATTGGCTATATACATTTTTAAAGGCGCTTTCGAATTCATCACTAACCATACTAATTTGCGTTTTTCATCTGTCAAACCGGATGAGTTGGCTAGACTTTATATGTCCTTTCGACCGCAAGAGGATAAAAATATTGTGTATAAGGTCTGTTCTTATTTGGAAATTTGGAAGGAATTGATTTTTTTTTAGTATTTACAAAAAGGGGCTATAGTCATATTAAGGTAAGAAGAAAATAATACATCAGAATTAAAGAAAATTGAAAACAAGTTTGTAGGCTAAAAATTAATTATACTTAGTTAGATTTTGTAATATTTATACTGGAAGAAACGAGAAATAATGCTACCCAAAATAAGAAAGAAATAGAAATTAACTGAAAAAGGCGAATTTAAAATTTTATAATTAAAATTGAAAACTTTAAACAATTTTTTTTCAATCCGAAATAGGCTAAGAATATCAATTTTTTTTAAATTAAAAAAAAATATATATAAAGGAAATAACCAAGTGTTTTAAAAATGAATATAAAATTTATTATGAACTTTAAAATAAAGAGTAAAAATTTTTAATATAAGATTTTCATAAGATAAAAATTTATGATTCAATTATTATAAAACAAAAAAGAATCCTTGTTTTAATCGATTAATGTTTGCTATGTGGAATCGGAACTATGAATGCTATAAATTCCCGAAGTTACTTATTGTGGGACCACAAAAATCGGGTAAATTTTAACACCCTTAAATTAAATATAAAAAATGAAAAAAGAGCAAAATAGCAATATTGAATGAATGTATATTAGAAATACTTTGCCAATCTTCCCATTGTAGGAACCACTGCTCTGCTATCGTTTTTATTACTTCACCCGTTAATTAGAACCAACGTACCTACAAAAAATTTCGAAGAAACGCAATTCTTTAGCAGTAGAAAAATTTACGAAAATTTTGGGATCAATTGGTATTAAAATTTTATAGTCTGAGTAAATCATTTCATGCCAATAAAACTTTCTATATTACATAATCGATTAGATTTTTTTCAGACAATTTTTATTATTGTAATAAATATCCCACTAATTTTCTAACTTTTCTATTAAAAGGTAAATGTATTTTAAAAATCGTAACATCTTTAATTATTTTTTTTCAGACTTGTATCTTATAAATAATATTTTGACTGGATTGGACTTTAACATTTGAAAAAAAGTTGGATCGGCTGACGATGCTAGGCTCTAATATATATAGATTGTTAATTTTTTATTATATATACATTTCCTATAATAATAAACTTTTTCCCCGCTATTGACATAATATAATTCAATTTTTTTAAAGCCAACTTATATGAATGTCACAAATTATTTACATCAAGGTATATGGATTTATTCCGACTTGAGCTTAACTTTCCCTACCAAAAAATTAGGGCGGATTCGATTATCTTTGTTGACAAGTCTGCCAATTATTTTGATTCAAAAAGGGCTCCTCTTAAGGCTTACAATTTACTTCCAACTGCAAAAATCATAGTTATTCTCATCGATCCTATATACAGAGCCTATTCTTGGTACCAGGTAGATTTATATATAAACGTGTTACATTTCAAGGAAATGATTATGCATTATTTAAAAGGTACTCGGAAAAGATATCTTACCTCATATAAAATTTTAAGGAATTAATATTAACTTAATTAATGATCAAATATTTTATGATATCAATACAAGTACATTTATGATAATATTATATATGTTTGTATGGATATTTCTACCATTATACCCAGAGTATCTGCAGAAAGGTTCTGGGTTGGAGAGCGTTTAACCAACGGGAAACCTCTTTTCTTTTTTTCACAATTATGTGGATAGAATTTTAAGATTTACAAGATATATAAAAGGGAATGGATTAATTTAAATAAATCGTTATAGAAAATGTGAAAGACACTTTAGTACCTTTTTGGTACTAGGGTAATTCCATGACAAATCGACCAGTGATTCGGCCGACCATCTCAAAAATGAATGAAACTTGGCATGTTAGTTATTTATGTTGTATATGTTAATAAAATCCAAATTTTAGAGCCCCAGCTCAACCAGATCCAAAGATATACGCCTTCAAAGTAGAGAATCGCGTAATGCATGATTTCTTATATCTTGTTTTTCTTAAAAAATACTTAAGATAGAATTACAAATAATATATCACTTTATAGCCCTTAAAATTTTACATTGGAAAATATTGGAAAAAAGTAAAAAAAATTTAAGTGTTTTTGTATTTCCGGTAAAAATAAAAAATTAACATTCCTGGGAAGGGATTTTTTTTGGTGTTGATACTCTCTAAAAATGTTTATTACCTTTATATTAAACTATTTAATGAAAAATCTCGATAGCCATTTTTGTTTTTTTAATTTTATTAAAATTTTTATTATTTTTGTAAATAAAAAAGGATAATATAGATGGCGTTATACTAAATTTATTAATAATATATTATATTTAATAATAATATATTTTATATCGGTATTAAAATCAAAATAAATCGATTAAGTATAACCAGTATGATGTCCTGGGGCAATAAATGAGGAAGCGGCCCTATAAAGATACTTTAAAATTATATTCAAGCTATTATAAAAATATATCTATTTATCGCAATCCATTTTGCGCTTAAATAGAAATTCTTGAGGCCGTAATTTGTATATATTTCACACTTCTGGATCTACTATCGTTATTATTTGAAATTAAAGATTTTATCATCTTATTTTATTTTTCATTCCTTTCTTTCTATTAAATTTTTATATCGATAAATAGGAAATTTAATTATCAATCATGATTGAAAAGAACATAAGGATTAAAAAAATATTTCTTTTTTTACTTAAAATTTTTTTTTAAATTTAAAAAATTGTAATAATGAAATCACTCTGTAGTAATCCATTCATTGAGAAGGCCATAAGTCTATTTCAAAAAATCTACAAAAGGTAAGTTTATTTATATTATAGATTAAAACCTTTTTAATTTTAGATTCTGGATTTTTTACTAATATAATATCTTTTTTATTATTGGATATAGTGTATTTTTATTATATATAAAATTAGGTTACACCAAAGATGATTAAAAAATCCAAAGGTTTATTAACAATAGGCCAATCATTATGTCACTCATGTCGCTTATATTTGATAAATATGGAATCCATTGAGGATATATCTGAAAATGAAGAGCCCGAACTAGCCCCATCCAGTTCAACTTTGGATATAATAAATGTATCGCTAGAAGAAATAGGCCAATCCTCAATAAAAAAGAAAAGAATAGGAGAAAAGAAATATCCGCAAGAAAAACAAAAAATAACAAAAGCATTAAGTCAAAACATATTAAGAAGCAGCCTTCCTGAGTTTGATATACAAAATAATAAAAATGACGAACTTCTTCAAAATTTAAAACATCATTATCCAATTATTTCTAAGGAAAAAAAATATCAACTTCTTACTATATTGCCCCCTTCTTGGACCTCTAAAAAAATTGAGATGGAGTTCAAAGCCACGAATTACTTGGTAAGAAAATCAAAAAAACTAATAGAATTAAAAGGATTTATGTCATCTCCCAATATAAAACCTGGGCGAACAATTGATCAGGAAACCGTGAATATTATAGAAAAATTTTACTCTTCTGATGAAGTCAGTCGCGCGATGCCTGGGAAAAAAGACTATAAATCCATAATGATCAAGGGGAAAAGAGAGCAGTCTCAAAAAAGATTAATTATAAACAATTTAAAAGAATTATGTGAACGATTTAAAGATAGGTACCCGATAATTAAAGTTGGATTTTCTAAATTTGCAGATTTACGGCCAAAAAATTGTATTCTGGCTGGAGCCAGTGGAACACACAGTGTGTGTGTTTGTGTAATTCATCAAAATTTTAAGCTTATGTTTGTAGATGCTAATTTGGCAAAACTATTAGCTATGCCAGAATATCCATTACATAACTATAAAAATATTTTAGCTCAAACAATATGCAATCCAGCACTCCCTATTTGTTATTTAGGAGATTGTAACTATTGTCCAGGCACATTCTCAATTAAAAAACAATTAGATGTTGTATTTGCCCAAAATGACATAGATCATATATCCTTTAAACAGTGGGTGTCTGTTGATAGAAGTAATCTGGAAACAATAACAAAATCTTCTCAAGAATTTTTAATTTTTTTTTTAGAAAAAATTCCACCTATGTTACGTCATTCCTTTATCGCTACCAATCAGTCATCATATATTTCAAAACTTAAACATTTTTTACAACAAAATGAATTTATGATAATTTGTGATTTCTCTGAAAATTATGCCTTTGTAATCCAAGACGCTGTTCAAGGATTTCACTGGAATAATAATCAGGCCACTATCCATCCTATGATAGCATATTATAATAATAATAACAATATAGAAAACCTTAATTATGTGGTAATATCAGAGTCACTTCAACATGATGTTATTGCAGTACATTTATACCAGACTGAAATGATAAAATTTTTGACTAATCATTTTAACAAAAAGCCATGTAAAATCTATTACTGCTCTGACGGATCGGCTGCTCAATATAAAAACAGAAAAAATTTCATAAATCTGTGTTATCATGAATCAGATTTTGGTGTAGCAGCTGAATGGCATTTTTCAGCTACATCTCATGGAAAAGATCCATGTGACTGCCTTGGCGGAACATTAAAAAGATTAGCAGCACGTTCAAGCCTTCAGCGCACCAGTTCTGGACACATTTTAACACCAGTTGATTTATATCAGTTTGCAAAACAAAATATGCCATCAGTAAATTTTACGTATATAACCAACGAACAATACAATTTAGAAGAGATTAAACTACGAGAAAGATTCAATTTAGCTCGTCCCATTCCAGGAACTCGAGAAATACATGCTGTTTTTCCTTTGAGTTTAAGTAAACTTAAATCAAAAATATATTCATATGCAAAGGACTATCAAATTAATAATATCTCAAATGCCGATTCGTCTTTTGCCGATAATTTATGGTAAAGGATTCGTAACATGTGTTTATGACGATTTTTGGTGGTTAGCCACAGTACTGAAAAAGAATGGAAATACTGAGGAGATATATATTTCCTTTTTACATCCCCATGGACCATCACCATCCTTCTTTTATCCCACAATTGAGGAAAAGATATGGTTGCCCATGAATCAAATAATAACGATAGTAGATCCTATAACAGTGACAGGACGTACCTATAAATTATCGCTTCAGGAAATTCTATTAATAAGTGCAAAATGGGATAAGATTAAAACAAGAGGTATTTTATTTTATAATTGTTTGTATATGAAATTTTATATGTTTATTTTAAAATATAGCGTCCTAATAATCATATCAGTATGGGCCGCTTCCTTATTTATTGCCCCAAGACATCATACTGGTTATATTTAATCGATTTTAATACCGATATAAAACATATTTTTATTAAATTAAATATATTATTATTAAAATTAATATAACGCCATCTATATTATCCTTTTTTATTTATAAAAATAATAAAAATTTTAATAAAATTAAAAAAACAAAAATGGCTATCGAGATTTTTCATTAAATAGTTTAATATAAAGGTATTAAACATATTTAGAGAGTATCACCAAAAAAATATCCCTTCCCAGGAATGTTAATTTTTTATTTTTACCGGAAATACAAAAACACTTAAAATTTTAATTTTTTTTAATATTTTCCAATGTAAAATTTTAAGGGCTATAAAATGATATATTATTTGTAATTTTATCTTAAGTATTTTTTAAGAAAAACAAGATTTAAGAAATCACGCATTATGCGATTCTCTACTTTGAAGGCATATATCTTTGGATTTGGTTGAGCTAGCACTCTAAAATTTAGAATTTACAAAAATATACAAAATAAATAACTATCATGCCAAGTTTCGTTTATTTTAAAGATGGTCGTCCGAAAATCGCGTTTTTTTGGTCGATTTGACGTGGAATGACGCACTAACTATGTTTCAGATAATATCAGAAATAGGAGGAATACGATTCTGTATAAACCGCGATATTCATACGAAACTTTGTGTCTATGAGCCTACCACACCTGTAATGAGGTTCGGACTATTAATTCAAGCAAGTGCTTCATTGATTAAACTATAAGTCTTCGATATGGAGGCTTATTCATTTACCCACTATAAATCATCTTATTTTTTATGATCATAATTAATGTTATATAATACTTATTTATGCTCATTATTATAAAACAAGGCTTTTAATATAAAACAAGGAGAGATCTGAAAAAAATCTAATTAAATAAATCAATTTTTTTTCTATCAGATTAATATAAAACTATTGAATATGTTTTCAGTTTAATTGCTTACTATACTACTTTGCGTTTTTAATCTAGGAACTTAAAATGGTTGGGCTAGATTTATACGAAGAGGAGAATTTAAAGCTATGCCCATAATGTCTCTTACGCCAACAACTCAATTTTTTGTACAATATAATTAAAACAAGCACGCCAAGAGGCATTCTCATGCCATAGCCCTAAATTATACGTTCCACCAAGTAGTAACGTTTGATTCGAAACTTACCCATGTATCACAAGCCTTAGCCAATTCCATTGCTGATCTTAGAGACAGATGTCTTAATCCTGGCAAATATTATTTGCATTTAATAAACTGGCTCAGATATTATTCTTCCAGACAAGTTTCAAATTTAAAAATAAATTTTTAACCAAATTTTAAATATTAAATTTTTGCACACGATGTTAAAAATGAATTGACAAATTCTTATATAAATATGGAAAGGAAGAAAATGACTCTTTGTTATTAATATTTTAATAATTTTTATTATACCTTGGAATACAATTTAATCTTTGAAAAATTATTATATCTAAGAAGGAGCAATAATAACCCCTTTACCCTCCCGAGCTATTGACGCTAAATGCCCTCTAAGGATTGACCCCTCCACTCTTCTGATATGAATTTCATAAAATAGGGGTAAGGATGTGTTTTGATTCAACATATTATTAATAGCCAGCTGAACAGCAAAAAAAACAAAAATACAAAAAAATGAGAAAATAAATACGATATGTGTCATACCGCCAAATACTTAAAAAAACCAAAATATAATATCCTAGTTCAAAAGCTGTTTAATCTAGGCTAAACAGCAATTAAGTATCATAATTAAGTCAAACCAGAACACATCCTTATAGTGCGCACAAATTGAACGTTTCAAGTGTTTCAAAACACTAATAATGCATTCGTTTAAATTGAGCACATTTACATTTTGCAGTTTAAATTATTTATTAAAAGACAAAATAGCTTGCATTTTTTGAAATGTTTTTAAATTTTGAAGTGATAGGATCGATATAATATCTTCTAAAATATAAGAATAAAAATTATTTAATGATACAATAATATTTTTGGCACATGAAATGATGAAATTAATAAAGATTTGCTTGGTTTGATACCATTACCTTATATCTAAAGAAGAGATTGAAAAATTTTAAAGACCAATTGAACAAATCATCTAAAAGATGAAAACATGAATATAAATACAAGAAATATATAAATTTTATGCAAAAGACTGTTATAGATAGAGCAACATCAAGCAATTTAAATGTGTCTCAAACACAAAAACCTAAAGTGCCTAATGATATTAATAGATTATTAAATGTGTTAAAAGATAAGCCATCTGAGATGTAGTAAAAGCTTATTTTTATCTATAATTTATTAATATTTTATATCGACTTTTTATGGAAAGCCTTGTAGAGGATGTATAAACTTAAGTTTAGACAAGACAATTAACTATTGTTTAAAACTGAGGTTTTAAAATTTATACATTATCTAAAGACAAATGATACCTCTCCAAATGCTAATGAATCTGCATTAGATATATTTAATAGCCTTATATAAATTATTTATTTACTATAAAATTATATATCATTGATTTTGTATTTTAAATGTGATATTTTTGTTTTTAAATTTAATTGTGATATTTTTTTATTATATTTACAGGTGATATTATTATTTTTATATTGACATTTTTGTATATATTCTTACAATTAATGAAATTTTTATACATTATAGTGATTTTCACATTTAATATAAGTTAAGTGATATATCAATTCAATTTTTCTTAACATTCAAATAATTTATTTATATCATTTAATAACTAAGTTTTATTAGTGCCAAATTAACATTTAATAGAAATTAAGGGATATATCAATTAAATTTTTATTAAAATTTAAATAATTTATTTATATCATTTAAAAACATAAGTGTGTATAAAAATTAAATATGTAAAACAATTTGATATAAAATATTTTTATAAATAAATTTATTATAATATAAATATAAAAATTTAATAATTTATAAAAATTTTTAAATTTGCCTCTAAAAATTTTATTCCATTGAAGAAGAATTATTTTCTTTGCTAGGCTTTAATGATCGTGTAGTAAGGCTTACCATTTTTGGCTTACCATTTTTGGCTTACCATTTTTGTATCTGTATAATTTTGATGATTACATTATTTAAAAATATAAAGAAATAAGATGTTTAATATTAAATTTGAATATTTGTAGTACCTGTATCATCAATGGAAGTTGATCCTTATTTGTAGATGATTATGTTGTGTAAGAATTGTTTTTATCACTATTCCTATGTTAGCTAGGCCAATTTTTATTGGCATACTCAGAAGCTCAAATTTTTTAACAATTCCCCCAAAACTTCTTTTAATTGTGCAAAGGATAGATCAGTAATTAAATACATTTTATATAAATAATTACTAATGAATTAAATTTATTTTACCTCAAAGTAACAAACAATCTGTCTTCAGCATCAATTTGCTTGTTACAATTAGTAATTTTTGGATTAATATCAGCATATATTAGCCAGAAAATATATGAAAAGGTTGATCTGCTTATTCTTGTATAATTATAAAATTGGAAATTTATCAAATTCTCTTTTATATTAATAAATTCAGAAAAAAGATTTCTTTTAACATAATTTGAGATCTTGCACCTCTTCGTTTCTTTATTTCCTCAAAGTAAATATAAGGCCGCATTTTTTTTTGTTTTAAATTTAGACGTTTCATATTGAAAAAATAAAACCTAACGCTTCAACACAGCTGCATTTACTTTTTTATATGCGTTTTGAAACGCTGCGTTTAAACGTTCAATTTGTGCACACTATTAGTACTTTTTATTACCGAAATTAAAAATAAAATTCATATTTAAAATAAACGATTCTTTATAGATTATTAAAAAAATATTAAAAATGGTATATATATTTTTTTTTAAATCCCCCATAACTCCGTAAATATTGCAATGCAATAGCATTAAAAATTCAGAAAATTATACCCCTCCCCCCACTTCCGAAATTTTACTTATGCTGTCATGTCCTCTTCCTTCGCGTCAGGGGTCACTTCAAACGGTAACCTATATCTAAATAGATTACAGTTCTGGGGGCAAAAAATTATTAAAGTTATAAATCGGTTCAGCTGCTTATAAATTTGGCTCGGTTACGGTTTTAGAAAAGTTATAAGGGGTTTTTCAGGGTAGGTCTATAAGTCGAAAGGCTGCATGATACGAAAGGCTAAAAAATAATATTGAAAATAAAAAAACGAACGCGTTCGAATTTTACGTTCGTTCAATTTTTATTTGAAAAATTTAATATTAAACCGAATTTTTTAAGAAAAAAGTTATATTTTTATAATCAGCCGTTTTTCTTTTTTTTTAACAAGCCATTATTATAGCTTATTAATTTGAATATTATGGTTTATATATTAATTTAATAAATTAGCATAAGCATGGATATTATTATTTAATCATCTGATGAAAATTCAAAATCAGATGAATTAACATTACCATGGCCCAAATATGATAAATATTTTACAGTAACATCCTTGAAGGAACCAATTCAATAATTACCAAATGTAAAATGTGCCTAAAAAGTATTATATCAGTTTCAAATCTTCAAGTTCCAATTTTAAATGACATTTAAATGTAATATTAATTATTTTATTTTAAGTAAAAATTATTAAATTTTATATATTATGTACATAGCAGTGACGAAGCGTCCATAGAAGCAAGGGAAGCATTGCTTCCCTTGAAATTTTTCTTACAAAATTTTTAAATAAACTTAATATAATCTTTGTAATATGCTAAATAAACTAAACTGACTTCGTTAAAAAAATTAATATAATTTTTATAACTTTAAAAATATTAATATAATTTTTATAACGAAAAAGATTAATATAATTTTTATAACGTTAAAAAGATTAATATAATTTTTATAACGTTAAAAAGATTAATATAATTTTTATAACGTTAAAAAATTAATATTATTTTTACTATATTAAGAAATACTATTATTTTTATACGTTAAAAAAGTTACTATTATTTTTATACGTTAAAAAATTTACTATCATTTTTATTATGTTAAAAAAAAATATACATGACATGAGGGAAGCAAATTTAATAATGCTTATTTTTTTAATAAATAAAGAGAAAATCATGACATGGTATTGTGTAATTTTACCATTAAAAAATAAGCATTGGGGAAGCAAATAAAAAAATGCTTATTTTTTTAATAAATAAAAGAGAAAGAAATTTTTTTATATAATATTTTTTCCCTTAATTTTATTTTTTATAAATAATTAATGTTTAATAATTGTAATTGTATTATTGAAAATTTATTAACATTATCATTTTGCTCAAGAAATTTTGATTCGAAAAAATTGATTATTGAAAAAGGAAAACCAAAACCAATTTTACAAAACTTAAAAAAAGAAATCGAAACTTGCATCCGTAATTTTTCTATCGATAAATATGAAAAATATGAATGGCTCACTGGATGTGAATTTTCTAATTCTCTATATGGTCATGCCTATTATTCCCAAAGGAAAAATATGTTTGGAATGATAAAGGATTTTCGGATATGAATAATTTTTCAAAGGCAGTTAAACGGCAAAAAATCAACCGCTCATTTGCTCGATGATTCAATTAAAAACATTTGGCCAAAATCGTATTGAAAATATGGTAGATTCGATGCGCAAAATATTAATCGAACAGCATAATTCTAAAGTCAAATCAAATAGAGAAATATTGAAAATATTGATCAACTCTATATGTTTTCTTGGAATTCAGGAGCTCGTATTCCGTGGTGATGATGAATCTTCTAATTCAGTAAATAGAGGAAATTATATTGTATTAATTTATTTGCTCGCGGAAGAAAATTATCTTATGAAACATTATTAAGAAATAGTGCAGTTTTTATTGTACTATCAACCAATATTTAAAATGATTTGATTAATTCTATTTCATATGTCTTACACCAAAAAATATTAAATTCGTCGAATTGTTGTTAGATATTAGTAAATTCCAAATAATCAATTTCCCAAAATAGTTATTAGATATTAGTAAATTCCAAATAATCAATTTCCCAAAATAGTTATTAGATAATTTAAACGACACTTATTCTCAATTTTTCGACTTACACAAGCTGGAAACCGAATTAAAGGTAGTGTTTCGGGATGTTGAATTTAGAAAGAAAAAGAATGTTAATGAAATACTTGAATTTTAATATGCACCAATTTGATGAAAAGTTTTAAAGAGTTTTTTAAATTATGCAAATTCATCTTAACTTTGGCTTCAACAACAGCAAGTGCAGAACAGAATTTTTCATCTTTAAAAAGAATCAAAT